TTTTTTATTGGGCTCCATCGAAATATGACTCTCGGAAATCTACGATGATGACATACATTTTTTTAATGAGCTTTCACAATAAATTGAAAAATATGGATGAAACTCATAAAGCGAAAGTTAAGCTCAGGATCATGCACCCTGTGTATGATCCTGTAGATGATTGATCCCATCCATTATTTTTTTATTTTATTATGAAATTTTTTTTGAAATGCTTGCAAAATTTTTATTTTTCTGTGTTATTATTATTTCCTGTTTATTATTTTTGTATGAATTATTATTATCATTTTCTTTCTGTTTAATTATTTTTGTATTTAAGAATAAATTTATGAAGAAAGCTGGAAATATTATATTGCTATTTGCTTCAAATGCTGATTTTCTTTCCAAACAAGCATCATGAATTAATTTTACTAAATCATCAAAGAATCTGCTGTTTTTTTTTTTTTTTTTTTTTTTTTTTTTTTTTTTTTTTTTTTTTACAGTAAAAATATTACTTTAAAAAAAATATTTTCACTTTTTTAAGAATAGTCACAATAGTCAATTCAGTGGTGTAAGCTTTAAATAAGTAATAAAAGATTAATCTTTTGAGAAAATGCTCTTGTGAATTCCAAGAAGGAAGAAAATGTAGTGAAAAATCCTTAAAACAACAGTGAACAGTCTAGACAGTTTTGTCTCCTGTTCTGTTTTTTAATTACGTTTTCCATGAAAGGAATTTACTTTTAATGAAACTGAATAGCACACATAATTCATAACATGGACTATAATTTAATGAATAGTATTTGCTATTATTATCCACTCTTTATTACTGGTTACCTAAAATTTGTCAATGTGAAATTAGAGATATTGGTCGTAATTAGAAATGACAGCATATGTTGAAATTAAACTCTTTTTGGTGCTTTAATATGCATGTCTGCCAGTGAGTAAAGAATTGTCATAATCTGTCAGCAAATGAAAAATCATTAAAAGTAATTACTTCTGATAACAGACGTGGATGAAAATATCCAAGATATCTCACAGGAGAGCAGAGTTTAATTTGAATTACTCATATGATGTAAACATACCAGTTTGCAGAATTATCCACAAAAATTCCTGAAAGTTAGTGTTTACTATGTACTGTGTCTCTCGAGTGTAACCCCCCCCTTTTTTTCAGAAAAAGCATATGAAATTCAGAGGCTTATACATGCAAATTATTAGAAACGCATGTATACGAACAGCTGGCGACACAGCAAAATGTATTTAATGATTGAGCATAAAATGCATTGTTGGGTAAACGTTTCATAGTATTGTACTAGTTGTGGTTGCTGGTAATGGTGACCAGTTGTGGGATACTAGTATTAGCGATAATTGATACTGGTGGTAATGATACTACTGTAATGATCGACAGGGACAGTGAGTAAGGAGTACTAAGCACAGAAACATGTTCCTTTTGATTGAAATTTTTTTTAAAAAATTAATGTATGGTAAGTACTGTTTTCCACTTAACTGCTTTCACACCTGCGAAATGGAAAATTATATACAGGTTAATCTGTCACTTCAAGATTTTTTTTTTTTTAATTAGGCATATTTCTTTCCATAAAATATCTCTAGACCATTTCGTTCTTATTATTTTTTTACCTTCTTCCGCTGCCTCTTGGCTTATAAGGAGATAAAAGAGCATTCTGTTGAACCAGTAAACCCAGTGCTCGTAAATTTTGGACTTTGCAGCAATTTCACGAACTGTTAGTGAAAAATTCTTGTGAAATCCATTGACTGGAACTCTTGCCCTTCAGAGAAAAATATGTTTCCATTATTTGAATGACAAATATTTTTAAAAAACAAGTTTTCTCACAAGTTTTCCGCACCAGCCAATGGCGTGAACCCCTAGCCATCACATGACATGGCTCCACTTTTGACTTTTTACACTAATATTGTATATTTGTAAATACTCATATTTAACTAAGATTCAATTATGGAACTTCTATCTGAATAACTATATTTTATTTTCGACTTTCATCATTTCAACTTTTATGCGTATTTGTATCTGATTTGTATTTTACACCACCCCATGATGTTACACTTAGTGGCAAAGTGCCACATTTTCCCATCTTGTCTCTGCGATACCTTTGTTCTGTTTTTGTACTTCCAGGAACCCATATTAAACGATAATTGGCAAAAAGCCTGCAATCCACGCAGGCTCCAGTATAACAGCGGAAAATGGAAAAAATGCCTCTATGTTCTTTATGCCGCCGTCTGAATGCAACTTGACGTTTTCCGTGTGTATAAGACATTTGCTAACTTGGATAGTTTGACTTAAGCATTGGTAGCAAGCTATGTCTAATCTAACGATGGCGTCTTCAAGGAAAAAAGACTATCAATTTCCTTCGGAAATGGGAAACCGATTACTTCTTTACCTTAGTAAAGGACAAATGTGAGTGTCTACTGTGCTATGCAAATGTATCAATTCGTACGAAAGTAATAAATTCAACAAACACTTCCAAGATTTTAAAAGGAATTCAATTGTTTGTCAAATCGCCTTTTATAGAGATTAATGCTGAAGCGTTGTGTTAGAGAACATTTTGATTTTTAAGATGATACATCTGTAAAATCGCTTTCTTCAAGCTCTGAAAATATTTGGCTCTTGTTCCTGAAGAAAAATACTGAATTTTGGTCCAGGTTCATCTCAAAGTGAAGGCAATATTCAGCTCTACATATCTGAGCGAGATTTCTTTTCCCAATATGAAATTATTAAAAATAAGTTCAGAAACATACTAACTGATGAACACTTAAACAACTGAATTCGAATGACAGCCACTACCTACTCTTCCAACACTAAAATCTTCAACTCCCCCTTTTTTGTTGTTGTTGTATACAGTTTCTTCAAAATCATTTTATGTTTAGTAGAAATTGAAGTTTATAAGTACAGTCAAAAGTCGTTAATTCGGACCTCAAAGCTAAAAACTTTCTGCGCATGCGCCGCGTTGACACATGCACATAGGCGCGACCTTTTACGACTGCGCATATGCGTGTGAGCAAGCGCAGAATACGTTTTCGCGTGCGCGTTTTACGTATAACGGACGGTATAAGCTAAAATTATCTATTTCAGTTAATGTTGATGATTGCGTTGTTCCTTAATCTTCGAATTGGATCCGGCTTATTATTTTTTGCAGACTGTAAGAGCAATTTTATAAAAGTAAATTTGAACTTTCGATTATGTGAAATAGAATTTCCGATTCTGGAGCTCCCAAAGGATCGTACAAAACGAAAGTATGTTTCGATGTCCATCAAACAAAAAGTGGAATTGCTGCAAAAAATGGATAAAGACAAGAAGAATGTGACAGAGGTTAGTGAAAACTACAAAATTTCGATTGACATGTTAGTCGGTATTCTCGGCACAGCAATTACGTGACTTGAACAGCGGAACTTCGTAACTGAACAAGAAATTATGTGTTTATAGAATTAAAGAGAAAGTATTATCACATGAAATGAGCAAATTAAACAACTTACATTGAAAGAAATGTTTAATAAAGTAAACAAATAAATATTAAGCTTTTTTTTGTAAATTTTGATACCCTTTAGATCATAATTGTTCTTTATTTCATAAATTACGGTTTCATATTTTTAATTTTAGAATTTCTGCATGCCATCATACAAGATTTAAACTGATGATCTATAAGCTCTTTAGGTTGGTAGCTCAGAAGCGCGACCACTGCATTATGAACTCGCACGGACGAAACATGTTAAAAAAGTAAAATCATATAGCTGATATAAGAATTCAAGAAACTCTAAATGTTGAATTGCCAGTTCTTAGATACCTTCTTTGTGAAAAACTTAGTTAGTAGCATTAGTTATTGGATTCCTCATTACTTTAAGTCCAAGAAAGATAAGCTTCAGTAGATCATGGGAGTAAAAAAAGTTGAGATACTTGGGTAATTTTTAAATCATAACTAGTAATGAATTTTGCATTTATCTACATACTCCATAAATGAAATTCTTGTCTGCATTATAGTTTTTTCTAGTAAAAATCCTGTCTTCACGGTCAAAATGCTCTGCAAGTAAAACATAAAAAGCCTTTTGCAGCCAAGCTAAAAATATTTCTTACATGCTATATTGTCTCCCTTGATAAAAAAACCCAAACTTGGATAGGGCTTATTTTAGACCAGTTAATTATAAAATTTTATGTAAAAAGCGTGTTTTATTCTCAAATATATAATATTATGCATTCAATTAGTTCATTAAAATTTCATTGTAATGTGTCTGCTGTTATTACTGTTAATAAATGCTGAATAAATTGATGAAATGATAGAGAATGCTTAATTTTTCATCACAAGCTGAAACTAAGAAAATTCAATAGCTTGAATTTTAATTTTAACAATCTATACATTAACTATAACCCTCCAATATGGTTGCTGATAACCGTGAAAATGAATAAAACTGGATTGCAAGTATACTAAAGGTTAGATTCGGTTTTCATCATATCAAGACATATTATAATTTTAATCACTTTACATTTTCCCCCAAAACAGATTCATAGATTTGAAAAATATCAGGCATCAGGAATGAGACATACTTGTACAGGTTAAATGCGGCTTGGATTATCACCTCTAATGTAGACTCATCTCTTTGTGTTTTCAAAGCCCTAGAAGGAAGCAAGAATGAAAAATTTATTTGAAGATTTGCAGCTTAATTTGTCACACTGCCTCCAGAGTTATCAGGATCATACAAAGCCAAGTTCACTAAAAAAGATGGGGATAAGGAATGCACTTCTATCTCCCTTTCCGTTTGCACTGCAATGATAACAACACAAAGAATTTTTTCCTGGATGCCAAAACTTCTCAAAAGTCTTTACTGCTGGTGAAGCAGAGAAAGAAACATTTCTCTAAACTTAAGGCTAGTTTCAGAGGCAGAAAGTTTATCACTTGAGGAAAAAAGGTCAGTTTTATAGGACAATGAAGTGGTTACGAATGAAGAAACTAGAAATGAAAGTTTCTTTATAATTTTATGGTAAAAATAAAAGTTACTACAAATTTCAAAAGAATATTTTATTTCAAAAACGAAATATTCAATGGAATTGGAACTGTATTTAACTACATTTTTAAATGCATTACACAATCTTCATATGTTATTATACACAAGAAATCTAAATAATGAAGCTGATTCATTAACTTGGATGACATTGTTCAAGTTTCCAGTGACATATCAGAATTAGTCTTAACTACTCCATTTACCCAGGATGTCGCTATCTCTAAAAATGAATAATTCCTAGAAATACAAAAATATTTTAGTATTTACATCACAGAAAATTGCAGATTACACATTTTAAATATATATTTGAAAGTGAAAATTTTTTTTTATTCCAATAGTACCTTAATTTCACACCTTCAAAATAAAAGCATTTAATTTTAGTTTTCAAGAATTTTATTTCTCAAATAATTTGAAAATATTCAACAAACACAATTCAATACAATGTAAAGCTTTTATTTAAAAATGTATATCATTTTTATAATGTGAAACATTTCCATGTCAGAATTTCCCATTTTATAAATTCTCACCTACAACAAAATTTTGACAATCCACTAAAGCCATGCTCATTTTACATGACAACAAAATTTCAATTGAAAAAACTAGCACGATAAATGTAACGGTAATTTTTTTGTTTCATAAATAGGGAAATACACTTATTAATAAAACTACACAGACTAAGAAACAATTTTACCAATGGCTTTATTTAACATTTCCTATTTATGTATCAATATTTTTTGGAGCAAAAGTAAACCATAAACATGCAAGTTTTCATTTGTGGTAAATCATTACATTTTGGTATATAAAAGTGAAGTCCATATGGAGTCTTTATTTTTGCAAGTTGGTTGTAGATATGTACTTCTAGTTTTAAAAAATACTTTAAATGAAACAAATACCTGTTTCAGCATTCTTAAAATTGTAAAAATTATGAAAATCATTTATTCCCAACAATGGTTGATTATTATACAGTAAATTATTCCCAACAGTCATATTATGGAAATGTCTGCACTCATTATAAAACACAAAATAACTCTTTTGCAGAGATTAATACAAATATTTGACCTTGTTTACAATTTACCTTGAGATATTGGTTAAAAAATTAATTGTAATTCGAGGTTGATTTTTCTCCCCTTAAATGTAAATTACAAGATTTAAGAGAATGTTAAAAATTTCATAGGTTATAATACAAAAGTTTTTTTGAAAGTTACAAAAATATTTAAAAATACAAATTTTTTAAATAAATCATAAAAATGTGTGAATGATATTTGGATTAAGCCTACATTTCAAATTCTGAAAGGAATCAATTTTGTTTAATAAAAACAGATATACATTAATAAATATTTATAAAATTCAATTATCATTGAGGAGCTAAAATTTTGATAGCTAATACTTTAACCCTTTGATGTGCGGTGGTAGCACTCTGAAACCACCAATTTTCGAAATTTTTGAGTGAAAATCAATTGATTACCAATCTTTTATCTCTAAATAACACAAAATGACTGCAGAATCCTACATGTTTTACGTCTTAGTACTTCAAATCAGATGTCTTTTAAAACTCATTTTCAATGAGACAAAATAACTTCCTTTTATTAATATAAACAACTTTAAATTTCAAAAGTTATTCATCGCACATCATCGCTATCATAAATAATAAAAAATAAAAAATAGCAATAATTAAACTGCATGTATTACCTGGAAAAAAAACCTCTTTGCTTTGTGGTTTCAAGGCGCGACCACTACAGCATTGTTTTAAAATGCTTTAGAGGCTTGGTGGTCGCGCCTTGAAACCACTGCTCTTCACAATGGAGTTTGCTTGCTTCTCAAATAGGAATGTTTATTTTTACCCGGATATAGATAAGGGGTTTTGAAACCACAGAGTTATTTTATTACTAAACAGTACATGCACCTGCCCAGTAAAAAAAGTCTTTCTTTTCCAGAGACCTTTCTCTGACCTCAACACACTTGCTTCCCAAGCTAGTATTGATTTTATAAATTATTTCCTGTGGTTTAAATTTAATGTAAATATACTTTGCTATAATAAAAAATAGAAATCACGTAAAGCTTTATTTAAATTAAAAATATTTTCCTAAATATTCTTGGGACAAAGTACGAAATAAAATAAGTATGGAATGGGAAACGAAATGATCCGTACCAAAGTCCAAAAAGACCAGAACCCCACCCTGCCGCATTAACATCCAAAAACCACAAATTTCATGTGCTAGATGAAAAGAAACTAAATAACGCTGGACATATATATACCAGTGAAATTTAGATACTAGGCAGTGTACATTTTGTAGCACAAGGAAGAAACCTTCATAGAAGAAGATACATGTGAGAAACGTACAATGTGGGTCTATATGCATGTACCAAAATGACGAAACTTGCTTTGAACAGTGTTACAAAAAATATTTCTTCTTTAAATAAATAAATAAATAAATAAATATAAAAAAAAAAAAAAAAAAAGTCTTTTTATCCTTATTTTACTGAGTTTTTTAATCCATTTAGCCAAACGCCCTTATTATGTAGGTACTTATATTTTCACTGCTATAGAAAAATTATATATTATGCAATTCCTACATACATTTTTTTAAATTCATAAATTTCAGCATTTATTGGAAATGCGCACGATGGTTTCACAGTACGACCACCCACAGAACAATAGGCAAGAATAGTTTTTAAATTCATATATTATTTGACTCTAGGATCATAATATTCAATTTCTAGAGTTTTTAGTTAAAAAAAATTATAAAAATATCGTGCGCGTCAAAGGGTTTTGTGCAATTTTTACAAAACTTGGCAGTTTGGCATAATTTGAGTTGTAGAACAAAATATGGAAAAAAAATTGGCATGTCATTTCAGAAAAAGTTTGATTTTGTGTCTATATTAGAACAATACTATATATAAATCTAATACATATCATACTAAGTCGCATGTTCGAAACATGCAAGTTGAATTTCGTTAATCAGCCCAGTAGAACAGGAGCTATAAAACTGTCTTTTTGTGTGTGTGTGTGTGCAGTGTACAAACACAGATCTTCAATTTGTGTACAATTCCAGAATATGTCACCAAAATTTGAAACATCTTGGCCAACTACTATGGAACATAAATCGAACTTTTTATATTTTTATTAATTACTTTTTACAATGTATCTTTCCTAAACACTATACGAACCAGGACCACCATACAAAATATTAAATTTCATAATTTTTACAAAATTCATTTTTCTAAACTTAAAAATGCCAAAATATGACTATGCCATTTAAAATGCATACATTAAGTATATGTGTAGTGGTAGCCATTATTTTTAATGCCTCCATAAAGACTTGTGGATATACTTTATACTCCATTCCATTCTCAAAATAATCATGAATTTATGAAGCTACTGTGTAAAGAATTTATTTATTCACAGCTTTTCAGGTACTGAGTTTTTACTTAAATTTAGCTCCTAGTTAGTTTGTCTACATTTCACAAAATGTTTTACTTAAGCTGCACGAAATTTATAAAACAGACTGCATAAACTTGAATAAAACTGAACATTACCAGAACACACATTAATATTTAAAAGTGAAACTGCATTGCCCATAAATAATACATTAACTGAAGGAATCAGTTAATGTATTATTTATGGGCAATAAGAAACAAAAATTACACAGGCAGCACTTGTTACAAACAAAAGCAGAAAACCTCAACGTCTGAAACCTTATGTCTAACCTCATGTATGAACAAACAGTATTTTTTAAAGATTTTCTTTTTAAATGACACAGCAAACTGAAATATGAAAAGACAGCTTTTACTAATTAGACAGCTGCAGCACATACTTCTGATCTCTTTCTGAAAAAGATACCTATCTCTTCCTGTAAATACAATTTCTAGCATTCAGTTTTAATTTCAAAGTATTATAAATGCTTTTAAATGTCATTACAGAAAGATGTTCAGTAAATGATGAACAGAAATGAATTTTGTGAAAGCGCATACTTTAAAGGAAATAAGCAAGTAAATTTATCCAGGCAATTTATCTACAGGCAAAGCATATCATAGTCAATGCAGGAGGGGTGTGATCTCTTAAAACCAGTTAAAACTATATTTTAAAAATAAGGCTTTTATGTAGAACCTTCAGAGAAATTTATATATGAATAGTTCAATTTTTTAGTTAATTATGGAATTATTTATTCATAATTTTCAGAAAAGTGTAGAGCTGACATCAGTTTGTAAAGTACTAATCGCTGTATATTAAACTTAACTGCTTTGTCAGTTAAATCGTTTTAAAATTCTCCATTGTTTTCTTTCCACTTAGTAACCTTAAGATATATTTCTTATGTTCAGAAAAATTTTACCCAAATCTTAAATCAGCTGAAGACAAAAGCATTTTCCTCCCCTGGGAATATTAAGTTGGCATATTATATCATTCTACAGGAAACTTGTCACAAGTGGTCCCATAGCAAAAACATTTACTTTACTAATTGAATAAAGGATATGAATTTCCCTGAGAAAAATCAAAGTTTTTTTTTTTTTTTCCCTCTGGATTAGCATTTTAATCTGCTAAGACAAAAGAACTTTAAACTTCATAAAATGTTTTGAATCTTTTTCATTATAGAATATGTGCCATATAATTTTCTTCAGAAACAAATGTTAATCAAATATTTTAATGTAAAAAATTTTAAATGTACATTAAACACTATGATTCTGTGTAACCAAAAAACAAGCTGAATAGGCACAAACCTTATTATCTATTTCAACTTTAGTACCACCATACTCAGGTAAAAGAACTTTATCACCCTCTTTTACACTAGGAGGTATATGTTCACCTTTCTGAAAAGATAAAAACATTATATGCATTACATTACAGCCATACAATATATCTGATACTTTTTGATTATCCACACCTTCACTGAAAAATTACAAACTCATGATCAACTTTGAAGAGTATTTGTGAACTTAAACTGACTAATTTTTCACGACATTAATGCTCGAAAGTCAACAGCCATTTTCAAAATAGCAGTGTACTAAGAATTCTACATGAAAACAGTCAATCAATAAAATTTTCAACAGAAGAAGCAAGAAAGAAAAATTGCACAAACAGGGTTCACACAAATTTTTGGCCATGGAAATTAGGGACTTTTAAGGACCATTAAAGAAAAAATTCAGGACCTATCAAGAGAGGAAATTTAATAAACAAAAGCAATTATTGATATCTGAACTTCCCTTTTGTAATCATTCTAAAAATAAAATAAATATAAGTAGGATACATTATTATTGAACATAATCTAATATTTAATCTAATTACACATGTAATTTATGATATTAATTCTAAATTATATTAGGATACTGCACAGAAAAAAGCTACAATACATATGTTTCCTAGCAACAAAATATTTATGAGTCATTTTAAGTTGAAAATTTTCCATATGTTTTAGCTAATTTAGTTTATTCTTCTCTTTAGCATTAAAGTTTATTTGAATCAATAAACAAATCAATGTCCCAACTAGTCTTTGCTTCATCCCCTAATTTGTTAATGCTTTAACAATACACCTTTGAAGAATTTTCTTTATATAAAATTTGTTTTCTATAAATTTCTTCATTTTAGGATTTCAGATTTAATTCAGGACTTTATGTTATTCTAAAGAATTTATAATATATAGAAGAAAATGCTAATTTTATTTCTTTAATAACACGAGTACTGAGAATGAATGTAAAATGGCATAAGGTGAGGGCTGATGCCATAGCCACTGTGGCAGAATTTTAGAAGTTAGTGAAGCACAGAGCAGCAAAATTTAAAGATGGGATTATTAAAATTTTGGGGATTAAAGATTTTAGCAAAATTTTTAGAACAGACAAGTGACAAGATCAGAACCACTTCTGCAATTTTCCATTTTGTGGTTTAGTGAAATGATGAGAAAATAAAGTGAAGATAAAAAATGTTAAGACAGACTTTTTAGAACCAAAAGTAAAAACTTTAAATAATTTTCTTATTTTTGTTCTCACAAGAATTCTCTACAAAATAAGGAATTTATTACAAATTCCCCATTTAAATCCACTCATTACGCATTCATGCCATGAAGATATTTTTTGTCACTTTTTTTTAAGAAGTTGGAGTCGCTAAAAAACATGTTGACACCAACTCTAGTTTTTGTTGGACAGTTTGAATTTGAAATGAAATTTAATTAAATTGAAAAAAATGACAAACTGGAGTATTCGAACTGAGTTAATATTTTTATTTATGGACTATATACATTAATAAATACAGTCAAAAGTCATTAATCCGGACTCGTCATGACTTCGTCGATTCCGGATTATAGATCATCAGTTTAAATCTGGTAAGATAGCATGCAGAAATTATAAAATTAAAAAATATGAAACCATAATTTATGAAATGAAGAACAATTATGATCTAAAGGGTATCAAAATTTACAAAAACAAAGCTTAATATTTATTTGTTTACTTTATTAAACATTTCTTTCAATGTAAGTTGCTTTGTTTTATGTGCTCTTTAATTCTATAAACAAACATAATTTCTTGTTCAGTTACAAAGTTCCGCTGTTCAAGTCCTGTAATTGCTGTGCCGAGAATATCGACTAACTTGTCAATTGAAATTTTTTCATTTTCACTAACCTCTCTGTCACTTTCTTCATGCCTTTATCCATTTTTTGCAGCAATTCCACTTTTTGTTTAATGGACTTTGAAACATACTTTCACTTTGTAGATCCATTACATATTAATAAATATATATCGGAAATTTTATTTGACATAATCGCAAGTTCAAGCTTACTTTTATAAAATTGCTCTAACAGTCTGCAAAAAATAAATAAGCCGGATCCAATTCGAAGATTAAGGAACACAATCTGCAATATTAACTGAAATAGATATTTGGACAATTTTACCTTATACCGTCCGTTGTACATTAAATGCGCATGCGTAAACGTATTATGTGCATACGCACACGCATACGCGCAGCCGTAAAGGCCTTACGCGTTTGCGTAAACGCCTATAATCCAGATTATGGTTGTCCGAATTAACGACTTTAGACTGTATTTTCTATTTTAGTGACATATTAGTATATAAATATAAGGGAGCAGGATGGATGTGATATTTCCCATTATTGATTAAACTGATTCATTTAGTTTCTAATCTCATTGGTGAATTGAGGTAAGCAGCAAGAACTCCCAAAATTGATGCCATTCTTAGGAAGCGAGCAGGAAAAGGAGCAACGCAATGGCAAAGTACATATTTGATGATATAGTGGTTGTTAGAATTAAGAACTTTTTCAGAAGATGTAAATAACCCAAATATTTCACTAACAGAAAGACTGTGGAATGATCTTGAAGAACTGGAAATCCTTTCACTGTATATAGCCACAAAAAAGCTACAATCTGAAGAATTAACAGGAAACGAGAATATTAGATGTAGATAACCTTAATGTTTCATTAACAGAAAGACTGTGGAATGATCTTGCAGAATTGGAAACTTATTTCTATACCGTATATAGCCACCAAAAAGCTACAATCTGAAGAATTAACAAGAGGCCAAGACTGGAAGATTGAATGTTTTTTTCTTTCTGAAATGGAGGGTTTATTGCAGACGGAATCATTTCTTCAATGAAGAAAAGAGAAACCAATTTGCTAGACAATAAGATCGCGCTGGGTTCAATATATGTAGATCCAAAACACCGAATTTTGTTGGATAACAAATTAAAAAGGAAAAAAAAAAGCCATCTATGAACTTTCATTAAGAATGAAATTATTCTCAGAACAACTGGAGTATTCAAATTAGGACAGTCAAACTCCAGATAATGCAACCGAGTCTCTATAATGTTCTTCCACTGATGAATTAGATTTTGAGAAATATTTGGATAATACTGAAAAGGCTAAGGCAAAGCGAATGAAAACAAAGAACAAGAGCCTTTAGATATAAAAATAAAAAAATACAAACAAGATGTATACACTGCCTTTGAACAGATAAATATGCAAGACACCCCATTTAAAACTTACAACAATTTTTATATGTAGCATTTACTACTTCTTGTATATTAAAAAAATAAGCTGTACCCATGTTTATATGTTTACATATATATGAAGGAGTCAGAGTCGTTAAAATTCCAGGAGTCCGTCATTTTCCCTACCGACTCCACAGCCCTGCTTTACATGCATCAATGCAAAAACACTTTTCACTTTATTCCAGCGAGTTCATGCTTTTTTCTATAAATCTAATTTTCTCCCTTCATCCTAAAATATTACATAGCCACAATGTTAAAACATCTGAGAAACACTGAAATAAGATATTACATAAACTGAATCAAATGTTCTATATTTTACCCTTTCCTTATCTCTGATGCAACCAATTAACTGCTACAGGAATTTAATTGAGAATGTAAAAAAATTACTCAAGCAGAAGCCATCAGAATTGATCATAAAAAAAAAACTGAAAGGATCACTACAATATGTAATTTACAAGATGTATATGAATATAATTGTCAGTTATTACTTGGAATTCTACATAATACAATTAGACGATAATTAACAATTTATAATTAATTTTTCATTACATAGACAATGCATAGGCAGCAAACAAAGCTAATAATCAATTTCTTACAGCTGATAAATTAAGAGTTCTAGTCTTGTACCTGTTCCTAAATGTGAAAAGAATTATAATGTTTACAAAGTTTGCCATCGACCATTTATGACAAACACTGTCACCAAAGTGTGTTTCTAGTAATGGATTAGTGTATATAAGATCTGCCTTAGTTTTTATATAATCCTGGCTAGTTTTTAACGATATATTCCAATTTATATATATTTTATGAGCAGCTATCTGTTCTAGCCTTCCTTCAAAATGACTGGTACAAGTATGAGCTCATATATTTATTTTTAATAAATGGTATAGCCATTACTTGTACCTGTTGATTACTTAACAAAATAGAGAGCAGTCAAAACCTTCAGACTTCTGCTGGAATGATTGGTGCAGATTTCAGGAATTACAGTGCAGCATTTTGGACTTTGCAATAAAAAGATTTTTTTTTAAAAATCTTTAAACATTTATCAGGCAGATTTATATATTTACTCACTTTGCTGTTTATTTTCATAACACTGTTTCTTGCGATAATGTTTAGATAGATAAAGAACGTAAGAATTTAAAATAACATTAATGTATACCAAGTGACAAAAATTTTATAACTAGATAATATTAATCACACCATTCAGATAATTAAGACTGAATATGTTACCTTTCAAGTACGAAGTATCTATCCTATGTAAAATGGCTGTGTAATCTTTGTATGTAGTAAGAGCCTATAAAAGGTTAACTTTTGGAATAAATATTTACATTACTTCTTATGCATCACATTTTGGGATAAAGTAGCAACAAAATTCAGTAACACACAAACAAAACTTTTATACCTCATTTCTTGCACCAGGACCTACAGCAATAACTGTTGCACTTTGAACTTTTGCTTGTGCTTTCTCTGGTATCATGATACCACCTTTAGTTCTAGTTTCAGGAATGAATCTCTCAACTAAGATTCGATCTAACAGAGGTATCAATCGTTTTCCAATACCAGCCTAAGGCAAGAAAGTAATCATTATGTTAAGGAATTTTTAATCAAAAAAGGAACTAGAATTCATAAAAAATTTAATTAATTGCACAAGTAGAATGTAATCCAAATTTTCACCAACATATACAGGAATGGAATGCAAGCATTCCTCTTCCTAATCTCAACTTCCACAATGACAGAATTTAAGAGCCTCCATTCTAGCAACATTTCATCCAAGATTTAAATTTGAACCCATTGATGAGACAGTCAATCGCTAAAAGTAATGAGAAATCGAAGACTCGCACAAGCCTTTGATTGAATTTGTCTTTAATTTTGTAAGCTCCCTTATTTCATTTCTTGTTTATTTATTCCAAGAAAAACATACACTTTGCATTATACTCTAACAAAGACATTAATTTTTATATTAATGTATGAAATAATTTAGGATTTTGTCGAGATGAAAGTAAAACATAACTGAATTCCGAAAAGTGCAGACCTAAGGAAAGATGAGGATGAATTTGTTTTTCGATGCAAATTTTATGTCGAAGTGGCATCCATACGCAAATAAAATATTATGGAGAATAGCAAAATGTATATATTAACAGCAACATGGCATCATCAGCACTCATATAGAGGTGCAGGCAAACTGCACAGAATAACAAGTAAGGAGATGTAATTTTGAATGCAATATTCACCATTTACCAGCACTCGTAGAGATGCAGACAAGTTGCATAAAATAACAAGTTGTGAGATGTAATTTTGAATGCAATATTCACCATAAACTAGAAGAATAAATTTCATAACCAAAAGGGACCTATAGATTGTTCATAATGTAGCAATGAGGCAGCGACGACAGCCAGCGAGTTCAGACTTCTCTACTGCTTGCTAATTTAGAACTTGAATTATTTTTTCTTCAATTATTAAAATTTGTAGTTCAATCAAAGGTTAGAATTTATTCCTGCAGAAGACCTATTGGTAATTTACTTTTTGCTTGCCACAAATTAATTTAGTGTCCCATCACCGTAGTGATACATTGTTAGTTAAAAAACTGAAAAACTCAAAATTCAATAATTCTATTTATAAATTTGATAACTACTTTATTTTCATTTGTAGGTTGCTGAAAACTGCTTCTTTTGAAAAAAAAAAAAAAAAAAAAAAAAAAAAAAAAAAAAAAAAAATGTGCTCAAAAAAGAAAACAGTTATTTTCCTTCCTCCCACTTGCATGTCCCTGAAAAGAACCTTTCTTAAAAGCAACATAATAACTAAAAATAATTATACATAAGGAAACGATCTTTGCTGGTATTTACAATTTCAAGGGATACATTCTGCCATTAAGTTTTATCTTTTACCGAAAAATATATGCAAGAAAGAAATCGGCTAATTTTTCCCTACTTGCATCACTTTTCAATAACTTTCTGAAGATACTAGTCTGAGTGAATAATGAACAACCAGTTGGAGGATTCAAAAAAACCTGCAGAACAATTAATGATCTTGTTTACATGATATCCATATCACTTGCTATTCTGTGATTCTACTGATCTGCTTTTTGTGGGCAGGTCTTGTTGTATATTAAGCAGTAAGTCTGTAGTATATTATTAAAACATCCAATTTATGTCCAAAATTGACTCACCATCAAGTAAAATAAACACATGGTTAGGATATCCAAGAAAGGAAGCATTGCAAAATTTTCCCATTGCTAGTTTTACCATGAGATGTACAATGAAGCTAAACAAAGACCAACAGCCTAAGAATACATGCCCCCCCCAAAAAAAAATGTATGTGGGGACACCATTAGCTTTAATTGCTTTAGAGCCTCTACGACTTAATCCCACCCTGTTTACACCTTTGATAATTCTGCCAACATTGTATTCTTTTCCTCCAAGTTACATTGCTCAATTTTCTCACAGCAAGTTACATTACCAAATTTTACAGATAGGAAATGATTTAATATCTTGTCCATTAAATGCATTCTCCGCACCCACTGATGAGTACAATGAATACCAATTATTTATTAGTTCCAATTACTTTTGTTAATCCATTACATCATTGCCTGTAATAAAAATGTCAATCAATTAACAATTCCTATGTTAATGCTACATCTTTCTACAGTACATGCAAGTATTTAAAACCTGGACCTCTGATGCGATTATTCGAAGTTAGACTCATAAAAACAATTATAAAATAATGCATGAAGTAACCAGCGTTCATCAGTACTATGAATTTCCAGTAAAAAGAAACAACCTTTTCTTGCGAATTATTGAAAATGATCATCTACAGTGGTGTCATAGCGTATGAGCAATGCGCCAAGGATCTGCACTCTTGAAAATTTTGAATCTTCAGATTCGTGGTTAACAAAGACCTTATAACATGTTAATTCACCTAATAATCCATATTTTAATGATTTCTATAATAAATCATTAATATCTCAGAAATAATACTGCCCTTCAGAAACATACGACCTTACTACTTCAAAGTAAAACGTATGTAAAGAATTTGTGGACGAATCCGTTAGCAACAAAACAAACATACATTAGTTGGTCCTACATTTATGGTAAAGTAGATTATTATAGCACATTTTCATAAAATGTGAAAACAGCTTACCATTTTATAACACCCGCTCCTGATTTCTTCACAGTAAACCGGTAAGCAAGATTTTTCTCACGGCGATCATACGAGGTCTGCACCTTAAGCACGTGGTTTTTAAGAACAATAATATGTAATCTATTTTGATTCAATGTGTGACAAAAGTTTCTGAGAAAATAAGAAAGGAATATATATATTTTTTTCAATAAAAGGAGATTAACTTAAATTATCAAACAAATTTCATCATCATCCAGAAGGTTCTAGATCTGCCCGCTTCACAGTTGTGAATGGCTTGGCAACCAGATTTATAAATTAGAAGTTGACTTGGCTTCCAACAAGATCTGAATTATCAGTTTTATCACATCATAGCACCATAGCATTGTTTGGGTTTCTTATAATGGAGCATCCAGAGAAAAAAATAATGTAAAGTCAAATCCGCAAAAGAGGCTGTCAGAGGGCCAAAACGCCTGAGACAACCTTTCATTCAAAGGACTATAACTGTTCGAAACAACCGATTGTGATGTTGTTTTCTTCCATCATCCTAATTTTGCTTCTTTAATGGAGGACTTATTGATCTCTTTCTTCGCCCACTGGCCATTTTGCTTCTAGTCTTTACGGTATGCGTATTCTGAAACATTTAAAATTTTCTCAACGCTGACTTGAAGGTCTGCATTAAGTTGCAAAGGTACTGCGTAACATAACGCCCTTGTCCTTGATCCTAAGATATGCAGTAGCAGATGCAGTTTCCCTAAATGCATTGTATCAGTTTATTGCAGACAGCTTTTCCTAAAAGGCTATAATGGAAGCTTTTTTTGTTAGGAAAAAGAAAGAATGTCATTTGAAATTTTCACACCTGTTTGTGCGTTTGTGTGTTGAGAAGGGGAGGAAACGGAAGTGGCGGGTAATGCATAGGGACGGGCGTTTCGGTATTTTAAGCTTACAGGCTAGCGAAGGCTTCAGTTTTCTCACTGTTAAAAGCGCAACACTTGAATGAGGGGTTTCACACTTGCAGCAGGAAACGCGATCAGCCTTTTATTTAGCTGTTAAGTATTTTCTGAATATAAAAACTTACCATTCAAATTTTAGTATTTATCATCATTTAAAAATTTTTGTTCTTTACTTTATGAAAACGTTAAAAATCATTTAAATATAGATAAATGCTTATATTTATTCTTCGAGCTTTGGAAGGGAAGGGGGTAATGATCTTCTAAAAATGGTGAAAGGGGTACACAAGGCAAAAAGGTTGAAAACTCCTCCAACAGACTGACACCTTTTACCTTCGTATTAGACGGGAGGGGGCCATTGCGTCAAAAGCTCTCTAGAGAGGAATCTAAAACCATATTCACTTGCCGCAGCTCTCGTGGGGTCCCAATCTCCAAGCGCAGGATTTTTAAAATTGAATTTTCTCTAAAATAACACTTCCCTGAACCGGCTTTCCACGAATGGTGTGGGTGCATATTCAAACCATTAAACTGGCCATAGAGCTGCACACTCGCATGGCATGTGCCATTACTTTTCGCTACAGTAGAGGCTGCTTTTTCGGATATTAAGATCAGGGTTGATATATTTCATGCTTCCAGAGTCGAGAATGCCAGAGTTCAATATACTAAGCCAGTAAAGAATTAAACTTTTTTGAATATGAACGGGAATAGGGTAGTATAACAAAATAAATGAAAATGGAGAGAAAAGCGTTAAATGAATATTTGCAGGCGCCGGCAGAGCCGTACCTAGCAGGGGTACAGCGTGTAAAAGTATGCGGGCGGCTAAAATCAGGGACGGTCGTACTCTCGCGATAACAGAGCTAAATATTTTATATTCATTAAATTCATTGTAAGTACTTGTCATATGTAAGTACTTTTTATACAATTTGTCATGTGTAAGTACTTATGAAATAAAAATTTTAACTATCATTGAGCATTTTTTTTTAATTTAGGGGCGGCAATTTTAGGAAAGTAAGCTGGGAGCAAATGTCCTAGGAATGGCCCTGTTCTTCAGATATCTATTTTTTCACGTACTGAACTTACATTTTATTCAGTTATATGTTGTTTTTATATTAATACTCTTTGTTATATCACGTTAATAAAAAAACAACAAAAGGATGATATTTTGGTAACACGCTGTATACATACAGCGTGTTACCAAAATGCGTGATACCAGCGTGTTACTGCAGAGAAAGCAGCAGAGGAGCAGAGGAAAAAATATCACGACTATCTCCCTAGAAGAAGCAAGTTATCGGCTGACAACCATACTCCGAGTTACCATAATAAGTTGTTTCTCCTTCGTTTGGTATCAACGCAATGTCCGAAAAATATAATATGCCTTCGCCGTGATTCCAACCACGGTTCTTAGCTTGGTATAATAACAGCATAAGAGCAAGCATATGAGAATGTCATAATATCTGATATATATAACAAATGTAACTCATCATAAATGAAATTCAGTGATGTCTAGAATTTTTACATGCACTAGAACAGAGATTTCTCGAAAACTGCTTGAAGAAATTGAATGAATTCATACGGGATAATACAGAGTGTCCTAATGCTTAAATGCAAACGGAAAAAATGAATATGAATGCACACGACAGAAAAAAGTATCATGAAAACAAATAAAATTAAAATTATACATGAAAACAAAATTTTAGAAAAAGTGAGAGATTTTAGGGAAAAGGGAGAAAATGTTAGAAAACACATGACGAATTATAGCACAAAATGAGATTTTTGTCTTTTAACATTAATATAACAGAATGTGATCTACCTTAGCTAGCTTTCATAAGAATAGTTAGTTATACGGAGTTGGGGAATAAGCTTCTGTGCTCTGCCAATACAGTTACAAAGGTACTGGGTTCTGCAAAACCACCCTTAAGTGATACATGTATGCAAAAGATTCTTCTGTTTCCTTAGAAGTTTTGTATTAAAAACCCTATGATATTCTCTGTAGATTTCAATTAAAAGATTTAGATAGTCAATTTACACCCTCATTGCTTTCGACTTCTAAAAATCTTTCAATACAGTTTGGAGAATCTGGCAGTATGTCTAGACACACATATGCACTTCTAAAATGCCTTGCGTAGGCTTGTCAAATTTCATTTTGTAATTTCTGGAGAGACGCGGTTTCTGTGTCAGACACAGGCATTAAGGCCCGTTTACACTAGCGGAACTTTGGTCCCAAGAAACGTACGCTAACGTCTTAAGAAACGTAATCTAAGTCGAGCAGTTAATCTTCAAAGGGAATTGACGTAAATCCAAGAGATGGAAAATTTTAACTCCGAACCTATGACATGAAAGCTTTGGCCAATCACAGACTTACAAACTATCACGAGGGTTTTGTTGATACTATACGCGAAAAACATGGCGGAAGATTTGACTACGTCTGACTGCAAATTAATTGCAGAAGTGCAACAACATCCGATATTAAGGGATAACAGAAAAAAAAAATATCTAATGAAAAGAGGACAAAACGTTGCTTGGCTACTGGTTGCCGAAAGGCTAAACCGAGATAGTATGTATCCCCCCCCTTTTTTTTTTGCTCCTATCGGATTGCAATGTGCTCTTTTTTATTCTATTTTTTTTTCGACTAACACAATTGTTTAAGTACCAAATAGGTTTAATGACGATTACACGATAAAAATTTGTTGACATATATTACATTATAGGGACGGATAACATAGCAACCTTCAGAGAATATGGTTATCTGTGATTGTCCCTACCAATGTTTGTTTATATTGTCAGAAATACTTTTGACTACTGAAGGTGCTCAACATGAGAGGTATCACTATATACTATATTGCCGAAATATATACTGTGCTGCTGCAACTATGATCAGTGAATAATATTCAGTTATTTATCTTACAAATTTGAAAAAATAAAATATGATAATTCTGATTAAAAGGAAAATTACTCTCCATTTCAATTTCATTCTTATACTCTAATAATTGCTTAATTTTTCATGTAGTAGAAGTTCATTAAATAATCTATGATACAATTATTCTTACATTCTTTTGGAGGTTAAGCGTTTTTCATCATATTTATATTCTACAATATTTTCCAAAAATGATTATTTAAAATATTGACATGATTTAATTTCATTGCTCATTCGTCAAATATAAAACACAGGTGGAACGGGAATGCAGAAAACCTTTTAAAAGCAAGTCTTTTTATGGATCTCTCAAGTTCTGTAAAACATATTATTTAAAAGCCTAATTATTTTATATTTCTGATCCTACAAAAGTATCTACAAAGTGAAGCAATGCTGATAAAATTCATGACAGTAATAATTACAAAAATTATGAATATTTTACAGAATGCTGGGTCTTTTCTAACAGAGGAACATATCCTAATACACGATAGTGCATTAAAATGTTGACTGTCCGACATCTGGCACAATCTAGTAATTTTGCATTATACTCAATCTGATATTATGTTTCATTAAGGTAATCGAATTATAAACAAACTTCATTAAACATGTGCTTAATAAACCAATTAAAATAATTAGTTATAATTAATGCTAGTCCATAATTATGTAAAAATAAACATTGAAACTTATTAATTTTGTTGGTAATTAAATCGCAACGTAATCATTAATCCTATTTCCTTAGTATAAATTACTAAGGAGAAAAATTACTAATTTACGCCTTCTAATAATTACTAAAACATAAATATTTGACAGTCTTTCAAGTTTTACTTTCAGGTTTTGCTAAAAATTAAAATAACTTGAAATTAAAATAACGTGATTCGAGTATAGTACAATTGAAAAATAATTCTGGGTACTTCTGCCTCAGTGAAGGAAACAATGTTGCATGAGCGGAATATGTATCTCGCTCTTGAAATATTGACCCGAACCCATTCCCGCCACACAAACCTTGGAAACACAAACGCTTTTGTACAGCAAATACATTCATATTAGATTGCTTCTCAAATGCATAACGCGCTTTCTTTCTTCAGCTTTAACTTTCGACATTTTACCCCAAAATAGGAAATATTGTCCATGCGCAAATCAAAGCGACTTGATTGGTTGTGGGTTAGTAATTCTTAGGCTTTCAGACTTACAAATGTAAACGGGTGGGATCCTTGGGAGTAACAACTTAACGTTAGTGTACGTTTCTTGGGACCAATGTTCCGCTAGTGTAAACGGGCCTTTACACTGCAAGTGCACTTCCTCGGGAATGAGATAATTTCTAATGTTCTCCGTTTACTTAGACGGAATCTAGTGAGCCGCCTAATACGCAGTCGGCTCTTTCATATTATTATGGATTGACCATTACAGGCCTGTATTATGCTTCGTTGTTTGATACTGACACTGTATACCATGCATCGTAATGATATTATGGTGTATACTGTAATTTCATTGAGATATTTCACACTCCTAGCTCCCTTCAGATTTAAATGCCATTAGAACGAAACGTTACACTTAAATTCTACTTTTCAGTGAAGGGAGCAAAGGTTCTTTCATAGTCTGAACTGGGGTTTTCAACTAATGTTGAACACAGCTGGGGGATTAATAATAATAATAATAATTGAGAATATCAATGCATTTGCAGCTTGCTTAACGAGCAAAATTATTTTTCTGCGAGATATTGTTTTCCATAATTTGTTGCAACCTTACCGGTCGCCGGCCTTTCTGCGGGACTACATTCTCTAACGCACATGGTTTTTGACGCCCTTGGTATCTGTGCAAGTATTTCTCTTTGTGGATCTTTAAGTGTTGTACAAAATCCTATTGAAAAGACGCATTTGAAATTTTTACAAACTTCCTTTTAATTTAGGTAAGAAGGTGTACTGCCTACTGAAATATTTATTTGTTATGTAAGGACAGGGGAAAAGTTTTTATGTTGTTATTTTTGCGCATGTAAAGTAATTGCTTTATTAGTACGTAAAAGCACTAATGATATTATTATAAGGGCACAGCCCGATCCTCCCAGCCGGCCGTATGATCGAAAACTGGGACTGGTATAAGATTATGTATTAAATTGCTAATTCCCCCCCTTTTTTTTTTAATGGTGATCTCGAGAAAATGTTACTAATACCTCACGAATGTATATTAAATGTATGTGCCGAGTGCTGTTTTAGAGAGAAGTGAACCGAAATCTTACCAAGCTCTGAGATCGTACAGATTTTGAACTGTAAATCAAGCTGCAAATAATTTGAACTTGCTCAACGAGTTTATATAATGTTTTGATGCACTAGTGTATCAGGTTCGTTAGAGAAGGATAAGCGTTCATTTAAATTGAGGCGTTCAAAAAAATTGACCGGCATTTTAGCTTTTTTAAATGAAGTTGTCTTCCGAGTGGATCGGAAAAAAGCAGGCGTCTAATAATGAATATCTTTTTGGCTGCCGTGTCTAATAGTGAATTTTGATGATGTTTCTTTAATTGAGTCTTTATGCATCTCTCATAACTCTGGATTTTGATGTAATAAGCTCATTTGGCTAGTTTCCTGACATCCATATGTAATCTGTTGTAATGTGTTTATGTAGCTTTAAAAACGGGTTTTCAACCGAGAGAGGATTTTCATAGTTTCAGGAGGGGGAATGAAGTCCGCTTTTCATTTAACTAATCAGTGTATGAACATAAAAACTACCTTTATTCAAGTTTTGGCATTTATCATAATTTTTTATCGTTTTCGTTGTTTGATTAATGAGGCCTGTTAAAAAATAATGTAAGTATGTATGTATTTAAGTTTTAGAAGAGTGGAAGAATGAACCTGTAGCAGTGATAAAAGGGTGCATGCAACAAGTAAGGTTGAGAACCCCTCCTCTAGAACCTGTTTGGCATCATTTTCAACATTTTAAACATGACTAAAGCAGTATATTTAAAATATTGTGGAGCTTAAGAAGAGCTGCACTTTGCTTGAAATTATTTTAAAGGTAATTTTCATTGTTAAAGAGACCACTGTATCTGGCTGTAAAAACTGACAATCACCCAGATTTATTACATGCAAATTTCAGATGCTTACATTTTATTGGTACTTCGTGATTAACCGTATCTCATATTTCAACATTCATTAGAATTATTGTGTTTCTGGTGCATATTTGAGCATATACATATGCTAAGCAGCCAGTTTATGCATGTGTTTACCATTCACATGTTTGAGTACAGATTTAGTTGTTGTTTTGCTGAACAGAACCCACTCTCTGTAAAAATGTAAATATCAGTGATATAGATTTTTTCTTGTGTAATTTTTTCCTTATAAAATGCTTGTTATCATTACTTATCAATGGAATATAACCTATGAGATGTAAAAGCAGCTGAACAAATGTTTCTCATCAGTTCACAAAGTTGTCAGTACTTGCTGGTGACTTTTCTGGGGACTGTGTTTAATCTAGTACTTGCTGATAATCTAGTGTTTCTGAGGACTGTGTTTGATCTAGTACCATTTTAGCAAGAACATTTTAAAATTAAAATGTTTGAGTTTAATGCCACTGCTTTTTCTTGGATCCAAAAAGTAATTTTGTGCTAGGTCCCTTATATTTGTGATTTACATATCTCATAAATATGCCTCTGACCTAAGCTCTGGAGAAAGAAAACTCAATATAGCTTTGCACAGGGATTAACCAAGAACTCTGTTTTAAAAATTGTACTGTGTTATGTTGTCTCGGTAAGAATGTAATTCTTTATTTAGAAAATTATCCATAGAAGGAATATGGTGATATAAAGACTTTCAGTACCAAATGGGGGGGGGAATTGTTAGCGTGAAGTTTAAGTAAAAAGGTAACCTTTGTGTAGTGTAGATTTAATAAGAAATTATAAATTTCAAGAACAAGCAAAGAAATCTTACAAATGGCCGAATATTACCATTTTTGAAGTTTTCGCATTTTAACCATTGTGCTGTTTTGCTCTATTGTTTCGTGATATTCTTGTTTATTAACTCGCTCTTTTTTTTTTTTTTTTTTTAATTTTCCCATTCCTTTTATGTCATCAGAAGGCCAGTTTTGTAAGCTAACCATTAGAATTTTTTTGGGTAATTGGTATTTTATTCCTGAAGAAGAGAAACCTGTGTCTGTTTCACTTTGAAATGGATAGTTGCATTCAAATCTACATTGAAGAAAGATCTTTTTTTTTTTTTTTTGCCTAATTTTAAAAGGTTGATCTTTACATTACGGTAACTTGGCGATTTTTTGGCGAAAATTTGGCCCCCAACTCCCCTACAGCAACCCTCTATTTTTTTTTCCCCGCCGCCATTTTGTCTTCACGAAGTAAAGACATGTTTCTTTTCTTCTTATTACTGAACACTTCTTCCAACAATCTACTAGCCGAATTACACTTATGCTAGAAATTTTATCAAACAAAACTGCTTAATCATGACAAATATTCACTGCAAAATTCGGAAAAAGTGCAGAATACCATACACCTTACGCGTTTTTCAAAATAACACATACACATAAACCATGTACACGCCGACTTATTTTTACTTAAAAAAAACATCCCAGAATTGCACAAAAATGGCATTGCGCACACTCTTCACTATATCCATGTACACTGCTTTTTTCATAAATTAGAAAAATTTCACGAAAATAAATGACAATTTTCTCAATCTTTAAACCCGGTAAAAAGAACATATATGAAATTACCTGATCGCGAAAAAGTATATACTCTTTCCAAATATGAACATTTCCACATATAAAAATAAATAAAATATCCAAAAACTTTTACCTCTAAATCATCTATTACATTATACACATCACCAACGAATTCATACATGAAGCATTACAAATATTATTATCAAATATTTAAATTATTTCCATGCACATTTATTTCAACTAAACATACACCAAAATTCCTACAAGTATAAAATTCACAAAATAACTATCATTTCATTAAAATATAATTAAATTCAAAAACACCACTTAAAATATACATGAGCACATACATTCAATTAATAAAAATTACCTTACAATCCTAATTACTTTAAACTAAATCATTGCTAATAACAATTTTCCCAATAATACCAAAATCGTTTCCACCTTACATTTCCAACAATGCATAAAAATAATTAAAAATACTAACTTACCTAATCTCCTTCAGAATCTTCATTACGTGGCGGATACACTTTTCTTCATTCTCTTTCAGAATCTTTAAAATCATACTTATCTTTCAAAGCAAGATACCAGGTAAAATAAATAACATAATAAAACAATGTTTATTTTCTTCTCTCACACAACCTTAAAAAACATTTCTTACTATCCTTTTCAATACCACTAAATACCCATTTCGAATTCACTTTACTTACGGCCATGGGATCCAAAAATTCAAAAACACTATTTCACACAACGCAGAATAAAGCCAAATACAAAATTTCCAGATTTTTTCCCGATTTCCCCCTTTTCCGATTAAAGAACCGTAATTCGTCCATTAATATCACGACATATCCCATGATCTCTCATTTCCCCCACACAAAATAATGCGTAATCGGAACTCAGTACTGCTCACATTATTACCAAAGTCCCAGGTAGTAACCTTTATCGCCTCCAAAATGTCGCCAAACTACCAGTTACCGTAATGTAAAGATCAACCTTTTAAACTTCTAAATGAATATTAAAATGTTTTCTAAAATTGCATTTTTTTTATTTTGTGAAAGTATTTTTATGAAGTCAGCATTTTTTTATAATAAAATTGTATGTATTAAATTTAGACTTTTTTTCTTGTAGCAAAATGTATTATCTTACATCTGTTCTTCGCCCTTTACTTTCACGTCGTATTGCATTAAACATCAGAAGAAATTATGCTAAAGATATTAAGTTCGGTCCAGATGTACGAGCCTTGATGTTACAAGGTGTAGATGTACTTGCAGATGCTGTTGCTGTAACCATGGGACCTAAGGTATATTTTAAGCTTATGACTTTCATAGTGATGCAATGCAAAGTATTTTGTTCTTTTATATGCAGTTCAAGCATTTATGTATTTTAAAGCCAGATTTTGGACATGTTTATGGAAAATTTATTTGATAATTATGTTATTTAGTCTAATCATTCTATTTTAATAGATACTGATGAAATAAAATCTAGTTTTTTTCAAGCCAAAATGTACTTTGTATAGTTTTAGTAAGACAAAAAAAAAATTGATTTTTCTCTTTAAGATGGTTAATATAAAATTAGCCCATCTTAAAGTTTAAAATAACTTTGTATGTACAGTCAAAAGTCTTTAATCCGGACTAGTTGGGACTTCGGCGATTTCGGATTATCGATTTTTTTTGGGTTATAGATCATCAGTTTAAATCTGGTAAGATGGCATGCAGAAGTTATAAAATTAAAAATGTGAAACCGTAATTTATGAAATAAAGCAATTATGATAAAGGGTATCAAAATTTACAAAAAAAAGCTTAATATTTATTTGTTTACTTTATTAAACATTTCTTTCAATGTGCACATACGTAAAGCATACATTACACATAGTCGAAATTAGAAAATTGCAACCAGAAAACTATTTGATGTGTACTAGTGATATTTATAATGACGAATTTGGTTTAAATCATATGAAAGACGGAATATATCGAGATGAAATACTACATTTAGTAAGGAATTATAAGCCGAATGAAATAAAACATCTGCCCTGAAGATAAGGATACTGCTGACAGATCAACTTCCAGTTCATTGCACGCCATGACGTCCCCCCTCGCAGAGCAGCGTGAAATTTGTAAACAGATTTCGGAATGGTTAGAGGAACAAAGGATATGCCTTTATCCATTTTTTGCAGCAATGCCACGTTTTGTTTGATGGACATTGGAACATGCTTTCGCTTTGTAGATCCTTTGGTAGCTCCAGCATCGGAAATTCTATTTGACATAATCGAAAGTTCAAGCTTACTTTTATAAAATTGCTCTTACGGTCTGCAAAAAATAAGCCTGATCCAGTTCGAAGATTAAGGAACAATGCAATCTGCAACATTAACTGAAATAGATAATTTTAGCTTAGCTTCCGTTAGACATTAAACGCGCATGCTTAAACGTATTATGCACACATGCATATGCGTATGCGTTGACGCTTGTGCAGAAAGTTTGTAGCTTTGATGTCCGGATTAACGACATTTGACTGTAATATATTGTTCATTATTTTAGATTGATGTAAAATTATATATAAAATGGTTAATAAAAATATATATATAATTCGTTATATTTTAAATGATTTTGAAAAACCTTTGTCTCGCAGTTCTTCAAACTCTCAAAAAAAAAAAAAAAAATCGAGAGAATGAAGGAGACAAACGATTAAGAGGGAAAAGGGTGCTGTGCATTGCATGAACAAAAGCTTTAGTAGGGCATGACTGGCACCTCCTGTATTTTTATCACTTCTATCAATCTTTCAGTAGATCTACAAATTTCCTGGTTTTAAATATTTAACGTATGCTAAGAAAATTGGGTACTTACGTATTATCGCAACCAGGTTGGCGCGATTTGTAAGTTTGAGTAAAAAAGTATGAATGAAAGAAAATGTACATTTATTAATTACAGATAATTTTTAATGCAGTTTTTTATATTTTGTTTTAAAATATAAAATAGCAATTAAACCCTTCCGGTTTCAAATTTGAATAAGTTGCAGAATTATTTTTTCGGCGGAAATCTTCTGGCTATTGCTTTTAGCACTGATTGAAAACAGTCTTCGCCATTAACAGCTTGAGCTTGGCGCCATATAAATTCAAGGTATGAGTCAAGATGATGATGGTTGATTGAGTTTCTCTTTACACCAACAATAAATGAAGCGCACCGCTGTCACAAATGAAATTCGGCTACCTTCAAACCAATTTCCGGTTCTCACACCCAAATGTTGATTGCGCTCTTCAACGTTACATTTCCAGAAGATTTGCTTTCCAAAATACAGTTTCATTTTATGAGAATTTTTACAAGTACGTTCGTTCGGTATAATTCCATATCCCTGCAACAATTCAACAGCATCTTTTTCACTCGCAGGCAGATCCCAAATACCCATAGTTAAAGTATTTCAGGGCATTCAATCTAACCAGTAAGAAAAATAATTTCTTTACGAAAAACTACATATAACACGTAGGGTTGTCGTAAGTAGGGTCGCCAAATTTGGCGAATTTTGGCCTGGTTGCGTTAATACGTAAGTACCGAAAATTGTTTCTACATACGTGTAAGTGTGTGTGTAAAAGGAACCTGTTATTTCCAACAGAATGTTCATGAAACTGATTATTATGGTAGAGAAATTGTGTGTGAAGCTTGATATCATTGGTGTAATCACAGAAGGACTCTATTGGAGATTCTCCTGTGCCATTCCATGGTACAATGAGTTTGAGTATTTTCTGTTCATAGACAACAGCATATGACCATATATAGGGCAGACAAAATGTCTTGAGACTCAACAAAGAAAGATTATCGACTCAGTAGCCTAAGTACTTGAAACAAAAAAGGATTTTAAGGCAAACTAATGTGCATATTATGAGATAACCCTATTAAGAATTTGGAATGTCATGTATCCCAAATTTAAAATAAAGCAGCAGTAACAAAGAACATATCTGAACGAAGTTAAGAAATGGTAGTATTTAATAAATAATAGAAAGAAACATATTTGTTCATATCTAAGGTTAAACTTCAACAAAGCACAAAAAGGAAGATAAAATTTGAATTGGCGAGATTTGAGTGGTGAAAAAACTACCAAGAAATATTTTTGACCATGTGATTTATATTAACAGTAAGTTTTGCATTGTAATGTAAAAAAAAATTATTCATATCTAAATCAAAATTTTAATGAAGTAAATAGCAAAAGGGAAGATAAAATTCAAAATATCGTACATTTTAACCTTGTGCTTAATAACATGTAACAAACATCTGCAAGAAAAATGTTTGATTGTGAGTTATATTTAAATCAAAATCTATTAATTCAGAAAGCATAAACATAGGAAATAAATCTGTAAAAAAGTAATAAACATTAACTTTTGATGGTCATATCTCTTGTTTGTGACTGAGAAAAGTCTGTGGTGATGGCGATAAGGAGCGCGCCTTGCGCCCTCCGATCAGTGTGGCAACCCTAGAGGAGAAGTTTCTTACGAGTAGCGCAGAGCGAAACAGGCAGGCTGTCGGGCAGTGTGCGCGAAGTTCCTAAATAAAGCTTAATTTTTATTGTGCACTATGTCTTGTTAATATTATATTAATGCAGTAAGAACATAATCTGTGATATGGAATTCGAGGATTGGTGGTAAAAACATAACAGGAAATTACCATAATGGTAACCTGGACTGTGTTAAATCGTATGAACAGTTCTCAAGCACTTTCGGTTTTGACTACAAGCCATCACTCAAGATCTCCAAACCAGAAGTAATGGATTACATCGATTTTCATCCTCCGGATCACAGATGAGTAGTAATTATAGATCATTTTATAATTCTGTTTTCTACTTATCATTTAATTTAATTTTCTTTAGTTAAATTTTTGCTTTTATTTTGGCTTAAAAACCTTGCACAATGTCTGATGTTTATGCCGTCCAAATTCCGGTTTATAACCGATCAGACCCATCTTTATGGTTTATTATGTGTGAAAGTACTTTTGCTCTTGCCACCCCCAAACCTATCACAGAATCCATTACTAAATATAATTATGTAGTTGCTCATCTTCCTCCAGATATTGCATCAATAGTACGGGATTTACTTATGAAACCAGACCTTATTGATCCATATACAAAGCTCAAAACTGAGTTAATAAATCGTTCAGGAGAATCTTCTCAGCAAGAAATTCGCCAATTATTATCTGGAGAGGAATTAGGTTCTCGAAAACCTTCCGATTTGCTTAGAAATATGAAACGTCGAGCAGAATCTTTAAATGTTCCTGATAACTTAATGTTAGAATTATTCCTTCAACGTTTGCCTTCGACTGTTCAGTCTATTTTGGCAGCGGTTTCCAATTTAACTGTAGATAAAGCTGCAGAAATTGCCGACAGAATTTTAGAAGTAAATCCAACCCCAGGGACTTGTGCCGTTTCGATCGTGTGCACAGTCGATCAGTCTCTTGAGGATAAATTATTTAAACAAATAGAAAAATTAAACAAACGTATTGATCGCATTTCTCTTTCTCGTGGTCGCTCGCCAAATCGCGGAGATCGCAATAAGGAAAGAAGCAATTCCAAAAGGAGAGACTATTCTGTTTGCTGGTATCATAGACGTTTTTTAACCTTGTTCATGGCAGGGAAATGAAACCAGCAAAGAATAGAGGCGACTTATTCTTTGCCTCAAGTTTCACGTCGCCTGTTCGTTCGTGACCGTAGAACAAACCTTTCATTCTTGGTCGATACCGGCTCTGACGTGTCCTTACTTCCAGCAAATAATTCTCAAAAACGGAATTCGTCCCAACAAACACTTTTCGCTGCTAATTCTTCTACTATTCATGTTTATGGTCAAAAAACACTTTCTTTTGGATTTCAAATTAAGACGACAATATACATGGACTTTTATTATAGCAAATGTTAGTAAACCCATTCTTGGAGCAGATTTTCTCCATTTCTTTGAATTGGTGCCTGATCTCAGAAACAAATGTCTCAAAGATTTAAAAACGCATTTTAAAACCGTCGGTTGAGTGAAAAATGCAAGCATTTATTCAGTAAAAACTGTATTTAGTGATACACCATATCACAAAATTTTAAAAGAATTTCCTTCATTTACTAGATTACCAGATCCTAACCAACCTGTTAAACATAACACCGTTCATTATATCATAACTAAAGGTCCACCTGTGGTTGCAAAACCTCGTCGGTTAGCTCCAGATCGCTTAAAAATAGCAAAACAAGAATTTCAAACTATGATGCAATTGGGGCATTTGAGACCTTCGAGCAGCAATTATGCATCCCCACTTCACATGGTTCCAAAAAAGGGAAGTCTGG